GGGGGGCAGGGAGGTGTATGTACATGTGTGTGTCCGTGTGTGTGTGTATGAATACTTAGCACTCTAGAATTACTGCTTACTTAGCGGAAGTGAATTAAATGCAATAGTTAGGGAGCGGGACTTTAGTCTTAAACCGCCCGGGTAGAGAAAACTAGAAAAGGGACAACAGAGGGAAAGGCACCGACACACAAGTGCGCCGAGTACCATTTCCCTCTGTTATCCTAATTAGTGGGCGGGAGGGGTTGGAGTGTTTGGGGTAGAAACCGCGCTTGGGTTCATTCACCGTATAAGCCCGGCGGCTGTTGATTCAATTAGTTGAAAACCGTATAAGCCCGGCGGCTCGAAAGTCAGTTGATCCAGTGGTGATCAGTTAAGAGAATCCAACGAATGGTGGAAACGAAGAATCAGTTACACGAATTCCGGAATGAGTACGGCGCCTCCTTGCGGAGGATCACAATTAGCACCCAAGTGGGACGGCTGAGCGGTTCACACTCTGACATTGGTTTTCTGTTAACTCAGTTCCCAAGCTGAGAAGGAAGGTGAGGGAACGGAAAGGCGCATGAGTCCGCAAAAAAAAGGTATTGTTGAACATTGTGTTGAAATGCACTCACAAGCGGTCAGCGCCCGGCAGCTGAAAGCGGCGGATGGAAATGGTTTGGGGGAAGTATCGTGGAACCACCATGGAAGCAAACAAGAGAGATTGGAACAGCGTGGGCAAAAGTTCAAAAAAGTCGCAGGTACGCCAGACTGATCAGGTCTGGTATCACGACGACATGGATGAGTCTTCGCTGGCTCGCGCCATCCATGCGTCCACGAGCCCCCTGCTTAGAAACATGAATTCGTGGTGGAAAGCCCTTAGGGACAGGGTTTGACACACACTTATGGATATGCATACTGACTTGACAGCGGCGCCACACGCCAGCCTAAGAAACCCAAATCCTGAAAGGTCCAGGAAAACCCTCCCTAAAGAGCCTGGGGGTCTTCAAAAGGAAGTGAGGCCAAAAACTCAAGTCGAGATCGGACGACAGGATGACGACGGTCGCTCACAACTGCAGAGCGCACGACGGAAAGCTTAAAAGTTGAAATGCAATGGAAAATGCAGGTACGTGAGAGTGATCAGCTCTCATATCCCGTGCGTCAGGTAGCTTCGTTGGACATGGTCCCTGAACGCACGCCATGTCCCCCTGCTAAAAAGCTCAAAGACACAAAAAGCGAGAATAATCCGAAAGGATCCCTGTGATTCCAAGGGTTACACACACACGCCTCCCCGAAGGGAGGCATGTGTGACCTCCATCCTGCCCGGAAAGGAGGTAGGCACATGCGCACGCAAAAGGGACAGATGAAAATGAGAAGGACAAGACAGACAAAGGTGTGCGTGGTTGCCGATGAAAAGGAGCCTAGTGAAAAGGGGCAACCGATGAGCCAAACCTCATTGAAACGAACCTGGGCCACCTGAACCTCGCTGTAAGTAGAGTACGCGTGCGTGTATGTGTACAAACTAAGGTCCGGACGATAGTGCGCGCAAGAGAAAAAAAGGATGAGGATGAAGAGACATGAAGACAGAAAGACATGAAAGAAAAGAGGAAAAAAAACGTCTGGGGGGGCCGATGAAAGGGGAACCAAATGACGAGGGGCCAAACCGAAGACAAACCAAACCTCATTAGAAAAACCTGTTGCAGAAGCCTAGTTTGCTTGTAAACACGCCGCGCGCGAGGAAAGAGGGGGCAGGGGGAGGAAGAAAAGAGAGGGAAAGAAAGAAGGAAACAAAGGTGCTCCCAGCTACGACACATGCGTCCAGGGACACACCAAAAGGAAGGGCTCCCAGCTATGACGAAGCATCCAGGGACACCCAGGGAAGAGGGTGAAGAGAGGAAAGAGAGAAGGAAAGAAAGAGAGAGGGAGAGAAAGGGAGAGGAAAGGAAGGTGTTCCCAGCTACGAACAATCGTCCAGGGACACACCAAAGAATGAGTCAGAGAGGGGAGGGGAGATCCTGAGTAGTACATTCAGGAAAACCCCAGAAAGCAAAAAGAGAAAAGGGGGAGGGAAGGGGGATAAGGGGGCTAAGTTCTCCACAGATTTCAATGAACCTTAAACTGGCTTTGACCGCTGTGGTCACCTTGTGCCCTGCCGAAATGGCTGGCTGCTTTGACCGCTGCGGTCACGTAAAGGCATGAGCCAACTTAGAATTCCAAAGATGGGAGAAAAATCATCGTACGTTCGGCCTAGGCCACCTGCTGTCCGCTGCGGACATCTGCGTTCCCAGAGCCGGGGGAACATAGACAAACCCCCGTTCAACGGGTCCACGGACGGGAGGCACTCTGCGGGCTCATCCCGGACTCTCACTGGGAGAGACACACTTATGGATATGCATACTGACTTGACAGCGGTGCCACACGCCAGCCTAAGAAACCCAAATCCTGAAAGGTCCAGGAAAACCCTCCCTAAAGAGCCTGGGGGTCTTCAAAAGGAAGTGAGGCCAAAAACTCAAGTCGAGATCGGACGACAGGATGACGACGGTCGCTCACAACTGCAGAGCGCATGACGGAAAGCTTAAAAGTTGAAATGCAATGGAAAATGCAGGTACGTGAGAGTGATCAGCTCTCATATCCCGTGCGTCAGGTAGCTTCGTTGGACATGGTCCCTGAACGCACGCCATGTCCCCCTGCTAAAAAGCTCAAAGACACAAAAAGCGAGAATAATCCGAAAGGATCCCTGTGATTCCAAGGGTTACACACACACACACTTCACAACTTGGCCCATTGTCGGGCCTGCAAGACAGCACACTGGGCTTACGTCCACAGTTGAATTCACCCAACTTCCTACTCAATACACCGACCGAACCAAAAACTCACCCTCACTGGTGTCCTCCGTTCTCCGGGGGCATTCGCCCTCTTGTCTATTGATTTTGCTTGGATTTGACGACCTGCTTCGAGCCCACGACCTCGGCCCCAGTTGGGGCGATCGGAGAGTCCCCCACCTTGGAACTGCAGCCCAACAATCTGGCTGCCACTGGGGGCGATGAAGCTGCGCCGCTTCCGTGCTTGAGAGCCCTGCGGGGCACTGGTGGACGAGGTCGTTCGTGCGCACCAACGGTCCCCGGTAGCAACAGCCAGAAAAGGAATGAAAAGGACACGGCGAGCTGATCGGTGCCAACGATCGCCGATGCGGCGCCTGCAAGGCCAGGACATCCCCTCTGGAGGTATGGAAGGTGATGGCAAGGCCCAGAAAGTCGTGCCTTTCCTGCGCCATGGACCAGAAGAACTGGGCGCAGTTCTCAGTGGAAACGTCGATAGCCCACATGAGGATGGTTCAAATGGGATGTGTCCCACCATGCATGGGATTGTCAGTTTCTTGTAGAGGTTGGGTCAGATTCGCCCAGGCCCCACCTCACCCCCACACCTTCAACCCGCAGTCCTCCTGCAAAACAGCTGTGATCCTCTCATCTGGCCTGGTGAAAAACGACAAGCTAAAAAAAAAGGCCCCCATAGAGCTGCTAGGCTTTCACTGCATCATGGCCCGCTGCATCATCCCCCCCCCTGTCACTCGCGCAGCCGGTGATGCGGGGTCTGCCTCAGCTGCCAGTGGTGCTGGATGTCTCCACCAGCGCCTCTACCAGCGCGGCCGGCAGCGGCACACGGATGAATGACAATACTGTAGAGTGCTGGCAAAAGCTCGCAAACAGCTGAGCAGCTGATCCAAAGCATCCCTGAAGAATGTCATTTTTGTGCTGCAGCAGCAGCAGCAGCAGCACCAGCAGCAGCAAACAAGTTGCAGTTGAGCCGAAAAAAACTCGAATGGAGGACACCTCGAACAACACCAGGCCTTGAACCTCCACCTTTCCTGCACCCAAGCCGCAGCACAGCAGAAAGCAACCGCTGCAAAAGGGGGAAAAACATATTTCACTCACAAAAAAACGAATGGTATATAGGTATTGTGAGCTCATGTTATTGTGCACATGTTTGGTTGCCGCTTGCTGGGACCCACTCTGCAGCTGGTTTTCGGGCGATTGACACCAGGTGATGGGGGGTATATCTTTTCCGAAGCGGGTGTGGCGAATAAGACGAACAAACCCAACAAAAAAGTCAAAACAAGCGGTAAGTAGTCACGAAAACTGGGCACCTATAGCACTTCCGAACCTTTTGCTGGGTGAACGAACGAACCCGGAAAAGACGCAGAAGCTGCTGTTGAACACGGTCCGAACCACCTCCTTCGATCTCACGGTCCGAGTGGCTGCCAAACGTCAAAGTTGTAGTCCCATTCCGAAGCTTCAGCTGCAAGTTATCAACAGCATACCCTGTACCTCGGCAAGAGCAGAGTCAGTCCCTCTTGGACCTGTTGAGGAAGCGGATGTTGGAGGTGGAGTTCAGGCGAACCAAATCGAAGGCCTTCGTGGAGACTATTGGAGGGCATCATGTGAACAAATTGAGCGGCCTCTTGCAGTCTTTGAGCCCCCTGGACCCATTGCAGCTGGTGAAGACATGACATCAGGTCCTCACCTACCTAAGAGTCGCAAGCCCTTTTTGGGGCAATGACCAACACACGTTTCCAAGCACCCAGAGTCACTTGAAAGCATCTGAATGAGGAACCGACGCTTTGGGGTGTCCAATTCTGATCGGCCCCCAACAGCTGCTGTAGCAACTCTTGGGATGGCTCAGATCTAGCGACTTGCCACCGGGTTGCAGCCGCTGATCTCTTGAATGACACCTCGCGGTTCGCCAGCTTTGAGCGCAACACCCTCATTTAGTGCCACCTGCACAGGGCAGTTTCCAGCGCCAGAGGTGCTCCCATCCACAGAAGTGTTCAACATGTTCAACCAACAAATGGTTTGGAATGTGCGAAAACGCCCTTGGATGGCGCGTGGAGCAGCTTGGGGGCTGGGGATGCTGGGAGTGTTCGGCTTCCTTCCCAGGCCGGACCTTGGAGCACTCAGCTGAGCAGCTTGAAAACCATGGGTGGTGCATACACTCAACTTGGGTGAACCTGGCACAAGCAAGCTTCGGCCAGCCGGGGTCCAAAAAACCGAATGTGGTGGGAAAACTGCGAAGACTGCCAAGGCGAGGCCAGAGAGGCTAGATGCCAGTCGAAGGAAACACAAACTGAATGACGCACGTTGAAGATTCCAGTTTCACTCACTTCTACCAGGTTTGGCAACGTGGCTGCATGCCCTACCAGGACACCGCTTTGGTCAACGTGGCATCTTTGGCAACGGAGTCATGCACAGGCCCTCGCAAAGGCATGAGTCCTGCCTTGATGAAGAATTGATGTTCAGTAGGCCTCCCACCAAAGCTCTGACCTGCAGGTTCAATCCACTGGGCCATGTGTTCAGAACCGGCTAATGCAAGCGTTTGCAAACCGTTTGCCTGGCATGGTCCCACCAGTTCACAGCATACATTCGGCATGCCTTACACAATCAAAACTAGAAAGTGGTGTCTGCTCAATGAGACGGCGATGGGTTCAATATAGCATCGGTGGCTTTCTTTTGGGTGGTCCGGGCCCCTGTTGGGACTGGCTGAGGCTCAAACAGTCAGACCATGGTGTTCGTTTGCACTCCATTGACCAGGGAGTTTGGATGGTTTGGGGTGCCATAGATGCTTTCGTTGTCGTTCAGCTGGGTGTGGCCCCAAAAGCAACAGTGAGAAGCCTTGCCTCTCTTGAGGCGTGCTGCCATGAGCGGGAAGCCTTGATCGTCGAGACTACCTGTGGGACGCGTCCAAACGAATGCGTCCCCGATTTCGGGTGGAAAGGGGGGATGGCGACCTAACTGTTGAAGAATGTGCATGTAGAAGTGTACGAATGTATGCATATTTATCTACATAAAGTACATTACATTGCGTTAAGTTACATTACGTTACATACCATACCATACCATACCATACCATACCATACCATTACATACATACCATTACATACATACCATTACATCACATAAGTACCAATACATCACATACATACCAATACATCACATACATACCATTACATCACATACATACCATTACATACCATTACATACATACATATATATATATATATCATACATGCATACCTACCTACCTACCTACGTACATACCCACCTACCTACGTACGTACGTACATACATACATACATAAATACATACCATACCATACCATACCATACCATACCATTACATTACATTACATCTTACAATACATACAATACATACAATACATTACATTACATCAATACATACAATCCATACAAAACATACAATACATACAATACAATACAATACATTACATTACATCTATGCATACATACATACATACCATACAATACAATACAATACAATACAATGCATAAATTACATGCATTACATACATTACATACAGTACATACAGTACATACAGTACGTACAGTACATACAGTACGTACAGTACGTACAGTACATACATTACATTACATTACATTACATTACATTACATTACCATACATACATACCAATACATACAAATACATACCAATACATACCATTACATTACATTACATTACATTACTTTACATTACATTACATTACATTACATTACAGGCAGACAGACAAACATACGTTACATACATACATACATACATACATACATACATACATAAATACATACATGCATACATACATACATACATACATACCATTACATACCATTACATACCATTACATTACATTACATTACATTACATTACTTAAATGACATTACATTACATTACTTTACTTTGCAGTGCATTGCCTTACATTCATACATGCATGCATACATACATACTTCTGGAGTGTTCATACTTGTTTCTGTGTGTTCATTGCGCAGGTCCAAGTGAAATTACTGTTGGAGGACAAAATGGTCGAGTCGAAGCCACCTCTCTGATTTGATGTCCCCATGAATTGTGGCAATGTTCTTCCTTTGGAAATATGTTTAAATATGTTGGAGCTTACAGTAATCTGCCTGGTCTTTACACCAAAAGGATTGGAATCTAGGCTAAGCCGTTGAGAGGAATATGAAGCAGTCGGATGAGCAGGTCGGATGAAGGTCGCAAGAGGTTGCAAGACTTCTTTAGCTCATGGTGACAATGTTAGATCCCGAAGCTCTCCTATATCCGAAAGCGGCTTTGCCAACCCCATGACCTCCCACCCCACAATCCCAGCCGCAACTGGAAAACCTTTCATGTTGACCACGCGCCAGTGAAAGCCTGAGACCTGCTTCCAAGCCCCAGCCAGAACAGGAAACCGTTCATTCTGACCTCGTCCCCGTCACCGAGTCACCGCCTCCTTTCTTAACCCGTACTACCACTCCATCCCTGCCAGCCCCACCGCCCACAACAACCAGAAATCTTTCCGTTCTTACCGAAACATTGCCACTCCATCCCTGGCACCCCCACCGCCGCAATCGGAAACCATTTCCATTCTGACCCTTAAATAATAAATAAACCACTTCCGAAGATCTGATGACTAACGTTTTACTCACAAACTTAGGTGTTTTTGTTTCACCTCTACCTCTTCATGAATCTTGATGCAAATCCTACCTCTTCCCCGGTTGGTGTGCCTTCCTTTTCCCACTTTCCCGCAGGCGTGCCTCCTTGTGACGTTCCGGGACCAAGTCCTTGCTCCTGGCGGCCGACCGCTTGGAAACACCTTCCGAGCCCCGACCGGGCTCGGAAGAGGCCAAGCAATTCTTGGATACACCGAGGGCCAAGCCGTTTCTGAAGGATTCCAGGATACATGCACTCTGTGAAGGTCATACCGTTTCTGAAGGGCCTTCTATCTGCTCTTTTTTTCAGGATCTGTCTCGATGCTTCCTTCCTTCCATTCCCACTCTGAACGGTACGTGTATGAGTGAAGACCAACTAACACAGTATTTTAAAAACAATGTTTCTGTGAATGGTGATGTGCACAGCCCTTAGGGTGCACGCGTCACGCCACAAGAGGTAGTCTGGAAGTGACTATGCTCGGTGGTATGGGTGGGCAGAGGTTCACGAACCGCAGTTTCAAAGTTCCAATCCACAGCAAACAAATCAAGGATAAGGAAGACTCTGGCCCAATCCTCTCCAAAGAAAGTAAGCTCAAACCTCCAAATGGTCCTGATGGTAAAGGGCCACTCTCCACAAATCATCGCGTAGATCATCACACCGTAGCTCCAGTAGTCACCGGACTGCGCAGGGGTCATCACGGGCAACGATCGGGGAACGCTTCCAGTAGATCAACCAAAGATCAGCCCGATCAGCCAGTAGATTCAGTCCCTTGAGAAGCAACTTGATAGTAAAGTCCATGCTACTCCTCTCCGCTTGTGAAAAGATTTACTCCGCCGAACCTGATCACAAACTCCTTGGAGCACCTGCGAAACAAAAAACGGTGACCAGTGAGGGTCAATGCTTCCCAAAAAATATGTGGTCTGTAGCATGGAAAGCGCCTAAAACATGCACACCAAAAATCTAAAGATTTTAAGGTTTATTGAGATGAGATGAATGATCGATGGATGGTTTTAAGAAACAATCAAATATATACCGACTCTTACTCACCTAACTTTGACAAGAGAAAACTTCCAAAAAGTTCCGGCCTCGGGCGCCACGAAATCTGGCGAGCCCACCGCCGTTGCGCGGCGGAGCATCGGGGTGCTGTGCCTCTGTTGGAGGGCGTCGCGGCGGTGTCAGCGAAAACAGGGTCCGGTGAAGCCGATGATTTTCAGATCGCAAACACACTAGCAATGGCCTCGAACGTACTAGCCATGGCCTCCAACCTAACAGAAATGGCCTCCAACCTAAGAGCGATGGCCTCCAACCTAAGAGCGATGGCCTCCAACCTAAGAGCGATGGCCTCCAACCTAAGAGCGATGGCCTCCAACCTAAGACCGATTGCCTCCAACCTAAGAGCGATGGCCTCCAACCTAAGAGCAATGGCCTCCAACCTAAGAGCGATGGCCTCCAACCTAAGAGCGATGGCCTCCAACCTAAGAGCGATGGCCTCCAACCTAAGAGCGATGGCCCCCAACCTAAGAGCCATGGCCTCCAACCTAAGACCGATTGCCTCCAACCTAAGAGCGATGGCCTCCAACCTAAGAGCAATGGCCTC